GGGGGGATACAACAACATCTCAGCAGACAGACGTAGATTCTCGAAAGAGAGTTTTAAAAAAGAAAAAACCTTCCCCTCCTGAGAACCAAACTCATGTCTTCTGTCGGGCAACAACGAAGGAGCCTAACCGTTACACCACAGACGCCAGTTCTGTTAAGTTTATGACACCCCTTGTAACAGACCCAAAGCATAATAAATGAAACAGCTCACAGAGCGATAATAGTAATAATACCAAGTACGGCCCCAAGATTTATGTACATGTACAAGCTATAACCGCTGACGATTGTTGGCTTCGTTGCTGCATCATATTAAGCCTTTCACTCCTTCGCCCGAGATTGTACTTAAGGCGTCGATTTAAGGTGACAACTGTAGTAACTTTTAAGGGACAGATACACCAGTAAAAATGAAAAAGTGTGATTATGAACAGTATCAAAGAGATTCGTTTTATTTAAAGGAGTAATTGTTGTAGTTATTCGTCATTTTTTTTTGTTTTGTTTTTTGTTGAGGTGTGCAGAGAAAACTCGCAATCCATGAAAGGAGATGCCGGCCGAAAATACCAGAACAAATTTGTAGATTTTTCAACTGATGCCATTTTCTTCAAGTTAAGCGTGCCTTTTATATTTTCTTATAATAAATTATACAAACCCAACCAACAAATTTGATGAATATATATGTGCCCATAGGGCAAGATTTGAAAATGAACTCATTTTGTCAGAACGCCTTACGTTTGATTTTGTGACACGGAGTAGGTCTCACTTTAAGCAAGAGTTAGAGTTGAAATATACATGTGGATTCATGAAATGATCGACGTTTCACGACTAATTTTCAGCTGGTACCTCTGAACATTCAGGGGTGTTTTGGTCATTGCACGCATTGTCCGACTATCTTTATACATGTGTGTGGAACATTTAATATCCATGTAAAGACCAGGCGAATGAATCAAGAAAATAAAGTATGCTAAACCATATTTAAGTTACACTATTCTACATTTTCACCACTGTCCCTTGAAGGTTCTTTTTTTTAAATCTGACTGAGAATTTCATGACTTAAATCTCAAAATCATTTTTATATTGATTTTTTGGTATACACTGAAACTGAATATATCTCATGTAGATCTAATACGGTTCATCTATTCTATGTCAGGTTCAGTAAAAGTGAGTTCAGACAATTTATTTTTTAAAGACGTGGTATAATTTGCACCAGAAATAAAAATACTGTCATATATATAGACTATCATCATCACAAGTCACCAATGCCTTTCTTACCTGGATCGGAGTAAAGGCCAGGCCCTGCCTTGTATTCTTCTTTGTCTAAATGGAAAGTATATTTTTTATAACTGTAGATGTCACAGATATTTTGTTGTTGGTACCCTCGCCTGGTGTATATGCCCTCTTTAGTACTGCCGTCAGCTGACAAAACGCCTTTTTTTTGTCCAGAGCAGTTTCGAGAAATCAACGATTTTCGGTTTTCTTACAATATCTCAACTACTTTGCA